TTGAAAACTGTGGTCAGATGAATTTTTGCGGTGTTTGCGCCAGAAATGGAAGGCATATAAACGCGCCTGTGGGGGGGGTCCACGCTATGAAGGATTGTATAACTGAGTACAGAAAAATTAGTCAGTTGACTCCAATTGTGAAAAATTCACGGCCTTGGTGGCATTCGAACCCACAGCAACAAGGGAAGGCTTGAGTACAGCCAACGCTCTGCCACCTGAACTGTGGGGCTCACCGGGAGCCGTGCTTAGGAAATCCTGCCTGGGCAGTCAGCTTACTGCATCAATACTGGTAGATTCTATACTTGCAGTAGACTGGATTTAATTCACGGCTCCCGGTGAACCTCGTAGCTCAGTTTGCAGAGCGTTGGTTGTACTCAAGCCTCCCCTTGTTGACGTGAGTTCGAATCCCACCGAGATCGTTAATTTTTCACAATTGGGGTCAATTGATTTATTCAAATCTGCTACCCTCTGCTTCTAACAGACAAGTTAATCTGGCTTGTCTAGCTGTTCAGTTTTCTCGTCATATGTTGTGTGAATGTGGTAGTTTAGCAACTAGTACCCGGTGGGCAATACTAGTCTTCACGGAGCACTATGGCCGTCGGTATCATACTAAATATAGCTCACTCTGCGCGGTGCGTTACGCACAAGGCAGTGTATATCCATTGGCTTACGTACTATGTTACAGAAAGGTTGCGTAGTATACTGTCAAAATACTGATCGTTTTTGACAGCATAATTTGATTTTACGCATGAACAAGTCTGTCCGATTCATTAGCCAAAACTGCCGGTTTTTCGGATTGCGAAAATTCTCGTTGACAGTGTTAAAAGATAAATTGGTGAGTGGACGTTTGCTTTCGGTAAATTCTTTTCAGGCCTGTACATTTATATCGTAATTAATTAAATAAACTGCGCGGGTTGGTAGTAAGAATGGTGCGATTGTCAGGGTCGGTGGGAGGGGAGGGGGACAAAAATGAGGTCAGTAATCTGATCAATGCCAGGATGGACTGGCAACCGAGAAAGGTGGTAAACTGCAGACCTTTAAATTGGCGACTTTCGGCCATGGTAACTGCGGCGCCATTACGAAGTTCTTTTGGACTCACCGGACCGGTTTGCGTAGCCGGATGGTAACCGCTCCTGTCGTAGTCAGCAGACGCTGCCCAAGGAATATTGACTAGCTTTAGGGCACCCTATAGATCAGCCGCGCGATGATCTGAGTCTACCATGTGCGCTAGAATGGAATTGTTAATGCTCCTTATTTGGCCCTTCCCACACGAGGTGCAAGTTTGCCTTGCGTCGTAGTAAGGGGGGTACACATGTTCGCTTCCGACCAAATGATGCCTTTCTCTCACCAAGCCTCATGTATATATTTTCTCCCATTTTCTTGAAGCCAAGCCTGACAGTGCATCGAACTACGGCGAGGTTCTTGTAGACATTTCTCACTCGGATTTAATAATAAAGCAAAAACCCGTGATAAATGGATGTATTTTAGCAGTCAATATCTATCTTTTCGCGACCCCTTTAGGATGTGCACAGTAAATTATTTTACAAAGGCCGTTGTTTCGTCGCTGGACTCTGCCTCTTGAGTTTTACTTGTAGAATACCGATGGTCACTAACTCATTTTTTTTGGATTAAGGAGTACGCGAAATCACGCATGTTGGCGTACTATGACCTCAAAAGTACCCTTCCAGAATCCGAGTTGGAGAACTGTCCCGACGCTACTTTGCCTGAAGTTCTCTCCTCGCCGGTATCTGAGGCCCGGCCAACGATTGATAACAATGATACTATTACTGCCGAAAATCATTCCGCCATGTTCTATGTTAACCAAGAAATTGATGCATGATCAGGGTTTGTTTGCCCCCCCCCTGACATTTCCAAAATGTAACCGACAACAGTTTCTGTCCTTCATCCAAGTGTGTCTGCGTATATGCTTTACCTTAAAGCGCCTTCTTTATGCTTATTTTACCGAGGAACAAACTCTTATCTCTTTCCTCTTTCTTCTGAGAGAGAGAGAGATCGCGTTAACGCGCACCTGCCTTTCTATACTTTTACCAACGCTCCTGCTTTCGTGCAGCTCAATCCGGTTTTCAAATGACATTAACCTCTCTGCCAAATCGTACATTTCGAACTGTGAAGGACCGCGTTTCGTCCGACTTGATTTATTTTTGCATGCCTCATTTGCTAGACAGCATAAAGGATGCCTCTTACCAAAGCCACATTCTACCTGTGTCGCGGCTATCATC